TCTTCATTCACTTCTCGTACTGTGAACAAATGTCCCTTTTAAGGTCTATTTAGTGCCACATCTTTCACATTTTTGTGCTCTTTCTTGGTGATTTTGATGTTTAAATAGCGCTGTGTGCAGAGGAGCTGTCTAGTGTTTCTACAAACAAGAAGACTGTGATATGCCTTAAGAGAAAATGCACGTGTAGATAAACTTTGTTCAGGCATGAGTTATAGTGCTGTGGGCCATGAGTGTAGTGTTAATAAATCAACAGTATAGTAAATCCAGAAAAAAAAGAAGAATTTGCTGACCTGTATGTGGAGCTGCTCAGAAAGTGCTAAAGTAACATCTATAATTCTCTATGATGAAGCTAAAAATTGAAAAGGACCTACATTTTTTAATTCATGATATGATGACCATTTTTATTTGTTTATTAAAGCATAGTGGAGGGCAAAGCTGTGTTGCTAAAAGTAAAAAAAATGAAAATAAAAACTAAAATCACATTACCCAGTCAAGAAATATTAAATATTTCTTAGCTGGTATTTATTACAAAAAAAGATACTACATATAATAAGTTATTTGAAATTATATATACCTTAAATTAGATGTTTTAAACAAAAACACACAAAAAACTGGGTTCTGTATTCATAAGAGTCACAAAAATGTTTTGACCAGAGGCTCACAGAAACCTAACGCTGTATTTCCCCTAGGAGCAATGGCTCCACATTCACTAGTTTTCACAGTGTCTTTAACACAACAGCCATCAATAGTGAGAATGTGCTGTAAGTACTCCCCTTGCCTTAATCTCACTTCAATCTTGACTACCAACACTCTCGTTCTTTTCTCTTGACCATCTTTTTTTGTTTCTGTGGCACACTTGCACTGCTACCTCTCAGGCATCACTTATAGCAGTGTTTCTCAAATTTTAATGCATCTACAAATCTCCTCTGATTGTACTAAAATGCAATTATCAATTATTATGACTGAGGTGAGGTCCAAAATTCTAGATTTTCCAAGGTGACAACTCTGCTGTTTGTGCCTGAAACACACTAAATAGCAAGGGCTACATCCTGACTTCCCCTTTAGTTTAAGATACTTGGAGCAATAGTTTTATCCCAATAGGTCTCCACAGTTATATTTTAACAATGAATGAAGGCTCAATTGTGTTTTCCCTCAGAGACTGAGAGAAATCACTAAGAAAGTAGCAAAGTGTGAAGACTTTTAACAAAAAGAGCATGAAATGTCTCAACTACCACAAATATGTCAGAAAGGTAAAGAATAAGAAAAAAAACTGTATATTTGGCATAAATTCAACACATGCTTTTTAGTGAGAAAATAATACTTGTATTTAGTACACTCTGTCAATGACACAATATTAAAAAACACAGACTTGGCTCTCAAGAAGCTTACAAATTACAGAGGTAAAGGGATCTACATAGCTGCAACAAAAGATAGAAAGTGAGAAGTAGATTTAACAAGTACACTGAAAGTGTGATTGGAGTTCAGACACTGCTTCCACTTGTGATTAAGTAAGGCCTCCAGAAGGAAGTGACATCTGAAATGGGCTGGAGATTCATTAATTTTTGAAAATCTAGAGGTTACTAGAACCTCATTCCAGCCAGAGTTAAAATATGAGTTTTAAAATCTCAGACTCCAGATCAGAAAAAAATTTCTGCAAAATTACATTTAGCTTGTATTAACAACTTATCACTAAGCATAAACATGCACACGAAAATAAAGTTATACAAGGAGAATTGAAAGGACATCATCACCATTCTGCGTCCTGAGCCCCTCAGTGGCTGGAATCTCGTTTCAAGGGAATAAGAGTTACAGGAGGTCATTCACAGTGCGTCCTAATAAGAACAGAGATGGAGTTATTCTGCATGAGATGGAGGTGAAATTTGAAGAGTAAAACAAACAATCTAATTAAAAAATGGACAGAGGACCTGAACAGATACTTCTCCCAAGGAGATATACAAATGGCCAACAGAAATATGAAAAGATGCTCAGCTTCACTAATTCTTAGGGAAATGCAAATCAAAACCACAATGAGATACCACCTCACACCTGTTAGAATGTCTATCATCAACAAGACAAGTAATAACAAGTCTTAGTTGTTGTGGGGAAAAGGAACGCTCATATAATGCTGGTGGGAATGTAAATTGGTACAGCCCCTATGGAAAACAATATGAAGGTTCCTCAAAAAAAATTAAGAATAAGATTACCAAATGACCCAGTAACTCTGCTTCTGGGTATCTATTCTAAAAATTTGAAAATGTTTGTTTTTAAGGATATAGGCACCCTGATGTTCACTGCAGCATTATTCATAGTGGCCAAGATATGGAAACAACTGAAGGGACCTTCAATAGATGATTGGATAAAGAATATGTGTGCCTATATAAATGAAATATTTATATTTATTTATAAGATGAAATATTGCCATTTGCAACAACATCGATGGATCTTGAGATTGTCATGCTAAGCAAAATAAGTCAGATAGAAAATATTGAGAAACATGATTTTACTCATAACTGAAATATAAAATTGAAAGCGACAAGTGAACAAAACAGAGACTCATAGACATAGACAACAGTTTAATGGTTACCAGAGGGAAAGGGGGAGGAAGTAGATAAGAGTAAATAGGGTCAAATATAGTGACAAAGGAAATTTAATTTTGGTAGGTGATCACACAATGCAATATACATATGACATATTATAGAATTGTATACTTGAAACCTATATAATTTTATTAACCAATGTCACCCCAATTATTTAATTTAGAAAAAGAGGGAAGGGGACTGGGAAGAGGAAAACTGAGGACAGAAAGAAAAAAAAATAGGAAGACAAGTGGGGAGTGTGTAAAAGAGCAGGAAAGATGGACACAAAGAACTCACCAGCGCTTCCTAAACCAAAATGCAAGACCTATCAGAAGCACCAGGGGCACCATCACTGCCAAGATAATCAAGCCCACGGAGTTCTGATGTTCTGTGGGTTTAAGTACACAAGAGGGTATCATTTCAAAACCACCCCCTGTTTAGTACATTTCTCTGGTATTACTTTTTCCATTTCTGTGTCTACTTCATCAAGCACCTTTCTTCCTATTTCTTCTCTCGTCCTTCTTCAGGGATGAATTATTCACCTAACCCTCAAAATCCTCCCACATATGCAGGTCTAATTTTCAACTCTTTTATTTCTTGAATTAATTATGTTCACTCTTTTTGGGTCTGGAGTCCATAAATCAGCCATTTTTCATTTGCCTCTCCTGCTCTGCTTGAGGACCACCTACTCCCATTCCCAATTGGGCCCCAGTTCCTTCTTACCCAAGTAGAGGATGATGTCCTTGCCTCCTAGACTGCTGTGTCTCACTCGGCAAGACAGGCCAGATCTCTCAATGGTTTCCACATTCAAGTAAATCCTGAGATACCATGTCCCATCAGCATTGGGCAAGACATCCCTTCGCTGAGTGCCTTGTTGTACCTGCTCACCTCGCATCCACATAGCCCAAATCGGCTTTGGGTAGAAGCCAGAGACATGACAAATTAGCATCCGATGGTCAGAACCAGGATTGGGGCCAATGGATAGCCAAGCCTCTGGCCTTACTGCAGAGAACAGGAAAGATATTCAAATGAGAACTCTAACACAAAATTGGAGGTTCACAGCTTCATATCAGTTTAGATAGAGACATCTTTCTCACTCTGGGAATCCATTACCCATTATCCCTCTTCTTCTTTGCTTCTTCTTATCCTCAATTTGAAGGGAATGGTGGGAAGGTAAATATTAGAATAGAAAATTCTTGGAGGGGGGTATGGGACTGACCTTGTCTCTGGAGATCTGCCTTCCCTGCATCAAGTAGACCCAAGAGAAAACGTGGACAAGTGTCACTGATGTGCCTGTGTGTTATTTCATTGTCAACCGGGTCCTGATTAAATAGTCCGCACACCTGCTGAGCTCCAGTTCCACCCTTTGGAGATGGCAACCACGAATAATTCTGGAAGTTCAGGAGATCTGATCCTTGATAAGCAAACCACACAAAGCCTTCCTTGGCTTCCCCAGAGTGCAGCTCACAGCCTGCTGCCATCTGTACCACAAAGGGATCTGGAGAAGAAGGGTTTTAAATTAGAGGAAAGAGGGTGTAAAAATGATTAAACGAGTGGAAGCAAAAGAAGGAAGTAGAAGGAAGAAGTTTGGGTGTTTGAGGTAATGGAACAAAGTTTGATTAAGTCAGAAGTTCAAACGAAGAGGAAGTGGTAGTAGTTAGAAGTGGAGAAAAAAACAAATGACCTGAGAAGGGGGGCAAATTTTTTGAAAAGTGTGACATAAATGGTGAGGGCCAGAAATTAAGGAAGGACTTAGCATGAATTGTGATCATAATAATCTAAGGTGGGTGGAATGCAATAAGTTATAATAAATGTATAGACAGAGATTGCTGAAGAGACTGAATGAGGGAGAAATTAGACTGAAAACTCATTAAGACATACACAACCCACCCATATCTGACCTCCCCATTTTGGGAATTGAACTCACATTCAAACTTCCATTGGCTGGCATAGTTGTGAAATATGTAATACAATTCAATGTAGAGTCTGCGGAAAAACCCTTCCATTTCTGTCATCTCCTTCTTGCTGAAGTTTCCCTTTGACCCAGGCCTCCTCCTTCTTGCTGAAGTTTCCCTTTGACCAAGGCCTCAGGAAAATGATTCTGCCCGAGTTGCTCTCCCAGCTATGAGTCTGCAAGTCTCCCAACCAACCCGAGCTCCAACTTTGTGTCCAGGAACGGTTGTAAAAAGATGAGGTGTAGATGATTTGGAAGATCTGCTCCTGGAAGACTATTGCAAAAGAACAGATAAATTGAGAAAGAAAAAAAAAAGGCATCAGAAAGGAGAGAATGGAGAAAGAAACTTGCCAGAGAGGGAAACTCAGAATCTGGAGGAAAGGGAAGCCAGAGTTACCTCAGCAGACATTTGCCTGCCCCCAGGGCCCCATGCTTTGTATATAGACTTCAGAAGTGCAGAGTCCTGGAGTCAGGAATGCTCAGAATGGAACTATGCTGACATTCACAGTCTCCAGGGATATGGACGCACACACACACACACACACACACACACACACACACACACACACACACTTGCACCCAACTGGGCAGTGTCCAGAGTTCTTACCATCTTCATTGTTACCACCTGGCAGGAGAACTGCTAGCAATGGAAGTTGCAGAAACAGCATTTCATTTACAGGTGTTATTTCTTCTCTCAGAAAAGTCTATCTTTGATTTCTGTTTTAAAAAAACCTACCCCACAACACCTCTATTTTGACTTCCTTCTTCTACCAACAGACAAACCTCCCCTTTAGTCACTGTCTGCAACAAAAAAAAAATGTAAATATATATGCCCTTCCCTAAACCTTGGACTGCCAACTCAGCCTCTCATTTCCTCCCCGGTTCTGACTCTCCTCTCTGGCTTTCAGCTTCCCCTCTTGTCACCAGCCTCCATTCTGTTCATCCTTCCCTAATGCAAACTCTATGAAATAAATCCTGTGTGACATTGAATAGTCACTTTACCTCTGGGGACATGTTGTTCTCATCAGTACAATAAAAGCATAAAATTAAATATCTTTCCAATTATTACCCAATGTTCTATGTCCCTGCTTTTTTTCTGTCACTCTATCCTTCTCTTGTCCTTTAGAATATTCTCCAAATATTTTTCTTCTGTCTCACTACCCCCTAGCTCATTCATATATCTGACTTCTCATTGGTTAATTTATTTACTCTTTCAAAATCTCATTTGATTCCCATTGGTAACAGTATAAAGTACCATATATTCTCCATTATTCTTAGGAAAGAAGAAGCAGCTGTTACGGAGACCATGGGAGCCTTGAAACATTTAAAATACCCCGTCTGATTTGCACTGATATATATATTCATTCACCCAAGAGTCGCTTAGCACCTGCCTGGATTCAAGCACTTCAGGACATTCATGAATTTGCAATGGTCAACAATGCAATTCACTTTTTTAAGGAGCTTTTAATCTACTAGGAAGAACACATAAACCAAGAACTATAAATCTTGGTGTGCTCTATTTTATGATAATGTATAGAATCTAGACAAACACATGGCTTCTTGAAACAATATTTTGTAAAGCATAGACCTTTAACTAATGTTGTCACTCAGAATCTTGAGTTCAGTATTTAGCTTGTGGTTTTAGGCCTATAAGCCCATGTTGTACTAGATCCCCAAGGTCTAACAGAGTGCCTGGCAAGTGATGGTTGCTCAATGAATATTTTTGAATGATTGAATAATTTGGCTTAGACATCTAATTATTTTTAATTATGCAGAACTTTAACATAACTCTTGTTTTTTCCTCTATCTTTTTTATATTTATTTTTATTATTATTTTTAATGGTGACATTGGTTAATGACATCTAACGAGTTTCAACTGTACACTTTAACAGCAAGGCATATATAGGTTTACAATGTGTGTTCACCCTCCATAGTTAGATTTCTTTCTGTCACCACATATTTGACCCCCTTTACTCTATCTACCTCCCCCACCTCCCCCTCCTCTTTGCTCTCTCCCCTCTGGTAACCATTAGTCTCTGTTTGTTTGTCCTGTTCATTTGTTGCTTTTAGGTTTATATCACACATATAATTGATAATATGTGATTTTCAACTTTTCCTGTCTGGCTTATTTCGCTCAGCATGACTATCTTGAGGTCCAACAATGTTGTCGCAAATGGCAATATTTCATCTCTTCTTATGTCTGAGTAATATTCCATTGTATGTATGTACCACACCTTCTATATCTAACCATCTATCGTAGGACACTTTGGTTGCTTCCATGTCCTGGCAACCGTGAATAATGCTTATGAACATCAGTGTGCAAATATCTTTTTGGATATGAATTGTCAAGTCTTTGGGAGTAAATAACCAGTAGAGGGATTGCTGGATCATATAGTAGATCAATTCTTAGTTTTTTGAGGAAACTTCATACTATTTTCCAGAGTGTCTATACCAATTTGCAGTTCCATCAGCAGGGTATGAGAGTTCCTTTTTCTCAACATCCTCTCTAACATTTGTTATTACTTGTCCTGTTGATTATAGCTATTCTAACAGATGTGAGATGGTATCTCATTGTGATTTTGATTTGCATTTCCTTAATAGCTAGTGATGTTGAGTATATTTTCAAATATTTGTTGGCCATTTGTATGTCCTCTAGGGAGAAGTGTCTGTTCAGGTCCTTTGCCTATTTTTTGATTGAATTGTTTGTCTTGTTGTTGTTGTTGTTGTTGTTGTTGTTGTTGTTGTTGTTATTGAGATGTTTGAATTCTTTGTATATTTTGGATATAGGCCTTTATCAGAGGCATTGCTTGCAAATATATTTTCCCATTCGGATGGTTGACTCTTTACCTTGTTGATGGTTTCTTTTGTTGTGCAGAGGCTTTTTAGGTCCTTATTCCATTTGAGTTAATTTTGGTGTGTGGTGATAGACAACAGTCTAGTTTCATTCTTTTGCAGGTGGCTTTCAGTTTTCCAGCACCATTTATTGAAGAGGCTTTCCTTTCTCCACTGTATGTTTTTGACCTTTTTGTCGAAAATTATTTGCCCATATAAATATGGGTTTACTTCTGGACTCTCTCCTCTTCCACTGATCTGTGTGTCTGTTTTTCTTCCAATCTATGCTTTTAATTATGATCGCTCTGTAGTATAATTTAAGTTGCACACAATGATGCCTCCAGTCTCGTTATTTTTTCTCAAGATGGCTCTGGCTATTCAGGGTCTTTTGTGCTTCCATACAAATCTGATAATTTTTTATTTCTATTTCTTTAAAAAATGCTGATGGATTTTGATGGGGATTACATTAAATCTATATATTGCTTTAGGTAATATGCTATATACATTTAAACTATGTTAATGCTTCCAATCCTAGAACACAGAATATCTTTCTATTTCTTTGTATTTTCTTCAATTACTTTTAATAAGGTCTTGTAGTTTTCATTATATAGGTCCATCACATTTCCTTAAATTTATTCCTAAGTGTTTTATTCTTTTTGTTGCAATTGCAAAAAAAAAAAATTATTTTTTCCACTTCTTTTTTCTGACATTTCATTATTAGATTTTTGAGCATTGATTTTTTTTTATCCAGAAACTACTGTATTTGCTTATTGTTTCCAGCAGTGTTTTGTGGAGTTTTTAGGGTTTTCTATATAAGGAATCATGTTATCCACAAATGACAGTTTGAATTCTTCGTTTCTTATTGGGATGCATTTTATATCTTTCTCTTGCCTTATTGCACTCACTAGGACTTCTAATGTTATATTGAATAACAGTAGCTATAGTGGACAGACTTGCCTTGTTCCTGGTCTTAGAGGAAAGGTGTTAATTTTTCACCATTACATATAATGTTGGCTGAGGGTTTGTCCTATACAGCTTTTATTATGTCAAGGTACTTTTCTTCTACATCAAGTTTGTTAAGTGTTTTGACCATAAATCGATGCCGTATCTTGTCGAAGGTTTCATCTATTGATATGATCACATAATTCTTATTTTTTAATTTGTTAATGAAGTGTATCACTTTAATTGATTTACCTATGTTGAACCATCCCTGTGCCTCTGGGATAAAGCCCACTTGATCATGGTGTATAATCCTTTTACTATGTTGCTGTATTCGGTTCGTCAGTATCTTATTTAGGATTTTTGCATCTGTGTTCATGAGAGAGATTGGTCTGTAGTTTTCTTTTTTTGTGTTATCTTTACCAGGTTTTGGTATCAGGGTAATATTGGCTTCATAATATGAATTACGAAGTATTGCCTCCTTTTCAATCTTTTGGAAGAGCTTTAGGAGAATAAGCATTAAATCTTTGAATACTTGGTAGAATTCACTGGAGAAGCCATATGGTTCTGGACTTTTACTCTTTGGTAGTTTTTTGCTGGTTGTTTCAATTTCCATACTGCTAATTGGTCTATTTAGATTTTCCTGTTCTTCTTGATTCAGTCTAGGAAGGTTGTATTTTTCTAAGTACCGTTCCAATTCTTCTAGATTATTAAATTTGGTGCTATATACTTTTTCATAGTATTCTTGTAGGATCCTTTGTATTTCTTCACTGTCTGTCACAATTTCCCCTCTTTTATCCCTGATATTGTTTATTTGTATCCTTTCTCTTTTTTCTTTAGTGAGTCTAGCCAGAGGTTGTTGATTTTATTAACCTTCTCAAAGAACCAGCTCTTTGTTGCATTTATTTTGCCTATTGTTTTTCTTGTTTATTTGTTTTGTTTTCAGTTTCATTTATTTCTGCTCTAACTTTGATTATTTCTTTCCTTCTACTGACTTTAGAGTTTATTTCTTGTTCCTTCTCTAGTTTTTTGAGATGAATAGTTAAGTTGTTTATTTGGGCTCGTTCTTGTTTTCTTTGATAGGCCTGTAATGATATGAACTTTCCTTTTATAACCTCTTTTGCTGTGTTCCAAAAGTCTTGATATGTTGTACTATCATTATCATTCATTTCTATGTATCTCTTGATCTCTCTTTTTATTTTTTTTCTCTGACCCAGTTAATCTTTAGTAGCATGTTGTTTAATATCCACGTATATGGTTCTTCTACATGCTTTCTTTTTGCAGTTGATCTCTAGTATCAAAGCATTATGATCAGAGAATATGGTTGGTATGATTTCAACCCTCTTATATTTGTGGAGAATATCTCCATGTCTCAGGATGTGGTCAGTCCTTGAGAATGTTCCATGTGTACTAGAGAGGAATATATAAGCAGCTGTTTGGGGATGAAAGGCTCTGTAAATGTCAATTATGTCCAACTTGTCTAATGTTCTATTTAAGGACTTTATTTCTTTATCGATTTTCTGTTTGGATGATCTGTCCATACCCAATATGGGGTGGTTAGGTTCTCTGTTACGATAGTGTTTTGGTCTGTTTCTCTCTTTAGTTCAGTTAGTAATTGCTTTATATATTTCAGGGCTCCCTGATTGGGAGAATAGATATTAATGTATTATGTCTTCTTGCTGCATGATTCTCTATCAGTATGTAGTGTCCCTCAGTACCTTTCTTTACCTTCATTATTTTGAAGACTATTTCTTCTGAAATTAGTACCCCTGCTCCCACTCTTCTCTGAATGCCATTTGCTTGAAATTTCATTTTTCACCCTTTCACTTTGAGTCTATATTTGTCTTTGGACCTGAAATTTATCTCTTGGAGGCAGCATATGGTTGGGTTTTGTTTTTTTGATCCATTCTGCAACTCTATGCCTTTTTATTGGTGAGTTCAGTCCATTTACATTTCCATTGCTTCTTTGTCCATAAAGTCTTATAGACATTTTATTTTTTGCTTTCTGGTAGTTCGGTGTTTCCATTGCTTCTTTGTCCTTGTGTTTCTGTTTCCTTTATTTTGGTTTGCTGTTGTAGGTTTTGCCTCTGGTCCTTCTAATTTTATGTTATATACTTCAGTTCTGAATCTTTGGTATGTGGTTACCATTACCAATATGAAAAGGATAGTTATATGTATACAGTCACCCATATTCTTCTGTGTGTGCCTTATCTCCAT